GCTGGTGCGGGGGGTGACCAGTGACAGTGAGGGGTGACTAGCATGGTGAGGGGGTGACTAGTGACAGAGGGGAGGTGACTAGTGACAGAGGAGGGGGCACTGGTGACGGTGGGTGGGTGACTAGTGACAGTGAGGGGTGACTAGTGACAGAGTGAGGGAGGGGGTGACTAGTGACAGTGAGGGGTGACACGTGACAGTGAGGGGTGACTAGTGTCAGTGAGGGGTAACAAGTGACAGTGAGGGGTGACTAGTGACAGTGAGTGGTGACAAGTGACAGTGAGGGGTGACAAGTGACAAAGGGAGGGATGGGTGACTAGTAAGAGTAAGGGAGGGGGTGACTAGTGACAGAGTGAGGGGTGACAAATGACAGAGTGAGGGGTGACTAGTGACAGAGTGAGGAGTAACAAGTGACAGAGTAAGGGGTGACTAGTGACAGTGAGGAGTGACAAGTGACAGAGTGAGGGGTGACTAGTGACAGTGAGGAGTGACAAGTGACAGAGTGAGGGGTGACTAGTGACAGTGAGGGGTGACTAGTGACAGTGAGGGGTGACAAGTGACAGAGTGAGGGGTGACTAGTGAGGGGTGACTAGTGACAGTGAGGCGACAAGTGACAGGAGTGAGGGAGGGGGCGACTAGTGACAGTGAGGGGTGACTAGTGATGAGTGAGGGAGGGGTGACTAATGAGAGTAAGGGAGGGGTGACTGGTGACAGGAGTGAGGGGAGGGGTGACTAGTGACAGTGGGAGGGGTGAAGGCGGACAGTGAGGGGTGACTAGTGACAGTGAGGGGTGACTAGTGACAGTGAGGGGTGACAAGTGACAGAGTGAGGGAGGGCATGACTAGTGACAGTGAGGGGTGACAAGTGACAGTGAGGGGTGAAGGGTGAAGGGTGGCCAGTGAAGTGTGGCTAGTGACAGTGAGGGGTGACAAGTGACAGAGTGAGGGAGGGGGTGACTAGTGACAGTGAGGGGTGACTAGTTACAGTGAGGGGTGACTAGTGACAGAGTGAGGGAGGGGGTGACTAGTGACAGTGAGGGGTGACACGTGACAGTGATGTGTGACTAGTGTCAGTGAGGGGTAACAAGTGACAGTGAGGGGTGACTAGTGACAGTGCGTGGTGACAAGTGACAGTGAGGGGTGACAAGTGACAAAGGGAGGGATGGGTGACTAGTGAGAGTAAGGGAGGGGGTGACTAGTGACAGAGTGAGGGGTGACAAGTGACAGAATGAGGGGTGACTAGTGACAGAGTGAGGAGTGACAAGTGACAGAGTGAGGGGTGACTAGTGACAGTGAGGAGTGACAGGTGACAGAGTGAGGGGTGACTAGTGACAGTGAGGGGTGACAAGTGACAGAGTGAGGGGTGACTAGTGAGGGGTGACTAGT